TCAACAACCAATCGCAAGACTGGTTACGAACCACATCGAGGTCACGACTAGGTTAGCCTTGCTCAACTGGTTCGTATTACAGTTGATTATAGTTCCTGGGCTCCCTGTGGTTTGTCCACCATCTTGTCACGTGTTTCTCTTTTTTCGATATTCTCTACCTGTTCGTAGAAATGATTTAATGATTCTTCTAACTCTGAGACTTTGTGCTTTGTCTCCTCAATCTGCCGATTCATAGGTTCAATCTTGTCTACTGCCTCCCTTATCGAGAAAAGCAATCTCAACATCATTTCCGACCGATCCTTACTGGATAACTTCATTGCCTTTTGGAGGTCGCCATCTTGTAATTAATTTATTTTATTTTACTAACATTTTATTTTTTATCTCTTATGTATTGTATGTATTTATGTTCCTTACCATACAAAAACCCTCTGAAGGTTTTTTTAGTAGTGTAATAAAGTTATTATTATTTGATTCTGGCCTTCCGCACTTTCACTGGATGCCGATAGCATTTCGTCCACTTTCCTGTCCTGTTTCTCGGCTCCCTTTGTTCCATCTGCTTTCATGCCAACCCTCGGTGACATATTACTTCCATATTTTCCTCTCGGCGGGTTAAATTTCTTCTTTTTTTTTTAGCCGTCCGGTTACGATGTTACTCTAGTTAACGCATGCGCAGAACCCTAGCGTAACAATTTGCACGACATGATGCCTGGAGCTAAAGTTAGCTCCCCAACCAAATAAATGGATTAATAAGTTTTAAAATCCATTGTGTATACTGGTGCCGTAAATTGGTTTAGACCCAGGTTCTCTTGAGTAAAAAACAAACAAACTGTCGTTCAATTAGAGTGGTTGAGAATATATTCGTTATTTGTAATGAAGCACATTCCTAAAATACATTGATTTAATGACAGGCAAATCACAATGCAATATCAAAATGGCGCATAGAAGTCGAAAATCGATCAAAGCAATAAATTATTAGAGAGGGACTGGAGATGTATTCACCATCACACCATCAGTTATTTATTTATTCCATTTATACTTAGAGAGGAAAGGGAATGTTTCCTAAAGATGAAAATGGAAAGATCCGTTACAGTGACACAGACTTCACTGATACATGGAAGGTAAGTATATTTCCTCGTATATAAATATCGTATATTCTTCCTGAAAACGCACCATTAACTGTAACAATATCTTCGTGGCAAATGAACGAGTATGTAATAATGTGCACCACACCACAAACCAATGTTTTCAAATACAACATACAGTTTGAAATCCAGGATACAAAAATGAGAAAACAAGCCGACACTTCGAAACCTTGAGACTTCTGATTTCAAGATGAGACCCAAACGAACAATCTCATAACAATCTCATAACTATGAAAACAATTAAAACTGACATATACTATAATCGAATATGACCACCCAAACAGGGATGCTTTCCAAATGAAGATATAAACCAACTGTCAGATGAAATATGTATGGCAATTCAAAGATGTGGTATGCGTGATTACATTATGTACGTATCAGGGACGGACAGTTTTATTTGTGTCTCCCCTCTAAAAATATGTAAACACGTTTCCTCTTTAATTCAGGCAATGGAATTACTAGTTGATGAAGGGTTATGTAAGGCAATCGGCTTGTCAAATTTTAACAGGAAACAGGTGGATAGGGTGAGCGCAATTGCCCGTGTACCAGTGTCTGTTTTACAGGTAAGTGAACAAAAATAATGTTTTTGTTCATAGGAGAAAAGGTACACCCAGTCGTACTCTTGATGTATACGTTTTGATAACGAGTCTGGCAATACGACAGTATGATATCATAACTAAGGGATAAAGAATTGTCAAACTTTCATTTTCATTTCATATTGTTCCACAACTTTAATAAATTTAGCAGTAAAAGACATTCATATGTAGACACATTCAACACATTTCATATATTCATATTCATTAGTATGAATGGTAACATGGTATTTACTATTCAATTACTATTCGGAGAGCTGTGTTTGTCTTTCAATGTATCTGTACAAACTCAATAATGTAACGTTGTAACTTATTTTCCAGAAAGTTACTCTAATTCAAATCGGTTTCTACAAAATTTAGAATGCAACTTGAACTCATTTCTACAATATTAAAATTGTATCTTTTAATTTTAATTAGAAATATTATCCGACGACCACATATTAAATTCCTTCATATCGCGTGTAAAGGTCAAACCCATGCGGCCCAAAAACGTAAATGTTTAAATGTATAGGTAGAACATAAGAAACACTTACTTCTATGCTATCGATAAAGAGCAATTGCTCGAAACGTCTAGCTATTTTTAATAGTTGCTTAGGACAACGATTACCAAATATTATCTTCTATATATCATATTTATCAGTCCGAGCAACGTGTATTTATTAACTATATTAATGAAACATGTGTGTATACGAGTCATTTTAGTATATCATTCAATAACTCAGATCGATAGATGTAATTGTGTACTGGATAGTCGCATTTAAAAAAATTGCACATGCATATATATACTAAAATGTGTTTTACACTAAGACTAAACAAGGAAGTTAAATATGCAAGTTGTTATTAATCGTCCATTAGATAATAAACTCAAAATATACTTGATTTGTAGTTCAAATGTTTATGTTACCTTGTATTTCACAGGTTGAATGTAATCCATACTTGACCCAAGAAGACCTCGTATCTTATTGCGAATCAAAAAATATTGTTATGACAGCATATAGTCCTCTAGGATCGCCGGCCAGACCATGGTATGTCAATGTGAATATATACATGATGTATACAAGTTTCATCGTAAATCCAATCCCGGGTTTTATTTATTTTTTCTTATTATCCTAAACTGAATAGGTAATTTCACGTATACTATCCTATATGAGTGGAAGTGGCAATTACAGCTTATAATAGAAATAAGCAAGGCTGCTATTCATACAAATATTATATAGCGGTGTAGAATCCATACGATTTGCCGAAGACAAATACATATATATTTGTCTTCAACAAATAGACCTATATATACATGTAGTTCTATTCAAAACACAATAGAAATGAGTTCCGTGTAATGTGTGATCTATTAGGATAAAAGAAGAAGATCCATTTCCACTGAAAGACCCCATAGTAGGCACAATTGCCAAGGCTCACAATAAAACGCCCGCACAAGTGTTGATACATTTCCAGTTACAAAGAGGATTAATCGTCTTGGCAAAAAGTGTTACCCCTGCACGAATAAAAGAAAACTTCGAGGTAAACCTTCGTCAATGTTTATTAGGTTATATTTTGTTCGAGCTCTGCAATGGATTCTTGTGTGGTCCACCATATCAACCTGTAAATGCGAAACAATTGGATGATTAACTTGTAGTTTGTCATTCAAGGTATTGGACTTTGAATTAAGTTCAGAAGAAATGAAGGCAATCAGTGGGTTAAATCGCAATTATCGTGGATGTTTACTGGAATGGTAAGCACGGATCATAACGATTTTAGCATCGTTTGTCATATGTATTTTGTTTGTTATATAACTGTGTGTAATAACTGTAATAACCTACCAGTTCTTCAGTATTAAGACTAAATCCATTAAATATGTTCACACCTCCACATGAAAATGAAACGCAAAACATGTCCAGTTCATAGCATTACTATTATAAATTACACAAATGATTGTCACGAGGTAGGTTAGCATTCGACCACATCTGTGATAAGAGGCACGCCTTATTCACCTCGTGTTGTGGGTTCTTTGGCACCCTTTCAATGAGAATATTGAAACAAGCCAGCTGGCGAGTTGATGGCCTTCGTACATACCAGGCCCGCTCGAACATAATGAACTCCACAGTAATTTCACACAAGATTGTACAACAGTTTTAGGATATCAATAGTACACAGGGCAATATGAATTAAAATTACTGATTACAACAAACTCTTAATACAATTCAGTAACAGCGTGTGTATTTCCTCAACAGGCTTTCGGACCATGAGCACCACCCATTTTTCAAAAATGGAGAACGTACTGATGACTGCAAATGAATTGTTATTGTGCTTTTTCTGTAGCTTATAAGTTATAATGTAATGTTAAGTATACCGCGTTATTGTAATTAACGAATACAGTGTACAGAAACAGTCAATACTAGTCTATCTGTTGGGTTTATTAAACTCGGTAGAATATATGTGTGTATTAATTATTCAGTACAATGTGTCATTGATGATATGTTGGGAGAGTGTAATAATTGTTGAAATATATTTGATTTTATTGAACGTATCAAACAAATGACATTATTGTAATCTGATATCTTGTTAACTGGAAAAGCCAATGTCAATGTAGTACAGACCTTAGCATATCAAATGAGCTGGCCAATATTAACCTCGTAGGTAAGAGAGGCATTATATAGTCTGGTAGAAAGCTAGTCCTTAAAGTCAAATTTGAGGCACATAGTGAAGTATGGGGCAGAGGAAGCAGTTAATGTATTTATCAAATACAAATAAGGTAATTGTTCTGTCAATACAAAGAGCTTGGCGCGCGTGCGTGTGTGTGTGTGTGTGTAGTGGAAGAAGGGGGTAGGTGCGTGTGTGCGCGCGTGTGTTCAGATTTTGCAATACAATATTTTAGGATAGATATCTATGACAATTCATTTAAATTTACAGTTAATTAAAACAATCCTACTGGCTGCCATACTTCTAATTCCGTGTCGCCCATGTGCTGTTTACTTTTAATATTTAGGATGTACCATAAATGAATGCATGTCCAAGTCAGATTCGAAGGTGGTTAAAGATCGTTGACTAGTAGCCATCTTGTTCGTTGAAAATATTTTCGTTCATATCAGGCACATACTATTCGCTAGAACTTTCCTACTGTACAGTGACCACATAAGGCAGAACAAAAACATAACATAGGAGCAACCTGCATATAAAAACATTCTGTCTTTTGTGGCCAAATTTAAGCATCCCAAGGTGCCCATATTCAATTATGAATTTTTGTTCATATTTGTTACATACATTATGCATGTTCCAGACTATTCATTTTTTAATCTAATCGAAGATATACTTGCAGCCATCTCGGTTTGTGTTTTGATCATATTTTAACTACAGATCAACTACCTAATTTGCATAATAAATTGTCAATTGTCTACTAATATCGCATATACTAATCACAACGTTTCAATGACAATCTAGGTCATTGCACACACCTTATTAGTTTTATGTTGAAATCTGTAAATTTTAATTAATCTCAAAAAACAATTATTGGATTCCGTTAAGACTAGGTATACAAGTGCCCGGAAACAATGCTAAAGACATGATTAAAATTAGAGCATAATAATTACCCAATTTAGGTAATATGCATGATCATCACATTTCATTGAACCTGTTACATAAATGCTCTGGGATAATCTGGGATATTATTAACTCAAACCCATTCATAAATACTCTAAATACAATTTCAATGATAATTAACCAATTTGCATAATGATAAAATTTTCGGCTTTCCACCGACTTTGTAAGAAATAATCTCACATTCTAATGAAACTTGGTACATAGGTATGTTACATTTGTCAATGGTGAATATTTGATTTCGTGATCGCCTTGAGATAGGGGCATTTGTTTCTAATTGATTCGATCGTATACAGGGATTTTTTATTTAACCACGATCGTTGATATACCCACGTTGCTGGGAATGTACAGCAATACATCAAGGACGCAACGATGGCTTGAAACACTAATAAACAGTATATCGCCATGGAAATAACTTTGAGATTCACCCTAGTGCACTGGTAATTATTACAGCTAATGTATTATGAGTATACGGGTTGGATAATTGCTGTGAAAGCAACGTCGAGGGCACTCATGCGAGCGTGCAGTTTTTAAATATTTATTGAAACATTCGTATGTATCGTCGGGGGACAACACTCTGTGTGGAGTGCTTTTATCACGTTTACCATAAAAGTGAGTCACATATTTTGGTGGCAAAATAAATTGTGGTTTTCTTTTAAATTCTACAGACACTATTTCAGTCGGGCATGCATGTGTGTATTATACGTAATGTTTCAGGTGAGGGATAAGAGAGGTGAGATTGAGATTGAGGTCTCATAAGTTGGCGACCTCGGCCAGCGAGTTTAAACTGAGTGGTTTTAATTAGGTTATTTTGGTGATTAGAAGGTAACGGCGATAATTAGTGGAAGTCGCGTCCAGGTCAGGCTCGTGATTTTATTAAAAGAGCGCACTGGATTGTGGTAAAATCATTGTTCATCAACACAGACGACTCACATGTGCAGCGCGACGACCACCACCCTTTAATAAGGTTTACCGGTAAATCTGCACGCAATCAATGCCTGAACTGTGACAGTCCATCTAGCCTAATGCTTTGTTATGTGTCAAACTAAAATGATTTAATCAAATGTCTTCGGTATTTCGCAAACGCATTGCGGAATTTGGTTAATTCATTTCACTTGAAAAAACATTAGGGCAAAGGAACTGTCGCTCAAATTACTGTTGACCTAGGTAAAAATATAGATAACAGGTGCAAACATTCTCTCTCTTTAATGCTTAGCAAGATTTAGCAAGGCTACACATTAATAATAAAAAAGAAACATGGTGACAAAAGAAATGACGGGAACTCCATATTATGCACTATATTTAACGTTTTACAAAATGATGATACATTTAAATTTGGAACTGTTACAGCCATTTTAATTGTTAGCAAACTTCTTACTGAGTGAATGGTTATGCAAATTAGTAATTATCTAAGCTTCTTTTTAGTGCACATCCCAGAACTTTAAAAATATCTCCTAGACGCTTTGACCATTTGTTTTGAAATTTTCACAAATGATTGACAATGTGTTTATCTTCAAAACGCCGTCGGGGCATTGTTTTTGGTTGAACAGTGTTACAACAATCGTACAGACAACTAGCCTGGGTGTTAATTTATGCATAAACTTGAAGTAGTGAAATTTGAGCTGCTGCCCTGCAAAATTGACAACTGGTAGACAGATTTCAAGACGGCACTTTCTTCACAGTGAACAGATGTACCCGTAAACCAATTTTGACAGGAAACCGAAGCATGGTTTAGAAGCTTTTTTTTTTAAATCAAAAGACAAACGTGATTTTAAAAAAAATACTACAATGTACATAAAAAAAATACTAACAAAATTTTAAAATACATACAATAAGCTTTCCGAAAATATATAGTTTTGTGGACAAGGAAGGTCATCTTGGTTGCCTAATTAACTAATTAAAATACCTGTCAGGTAAACTGCATCTCTACCTCAAATAACTTTTCTCTTGCTTGTAACGGATTCATATTCAAAATTAGTACTAATCGTTTATAATGTTACAAATTGCTTCATATGTCGATATAAAAAATACGTATATTTAAATATGTCACCAAACTATTATACATGTATATATGTGTGTTGAAATGGGCATAGTGCTAGTGGCTAGTGCGAGTAGCACTAAACCGAAATAGTACTAGATCTAGTGGTAAAATTGCACTAGATCTAGTGCTAAAATAGGGTTAGGGTTAGGTATTTGTTTAAAAGATGAGAGGAATTCAAAACTTGAGGTGGATCTTCTTTTTTTCGGGCCGTGACGTATATATTGTACATGTTAAAATGGTGGTGTGAGGGCGGGGATATGGCAGTTATGCGAAGTGTGGAGAGGGGTTAGGGTTAGGGTTAGGGTTAGGGTTTTATTTAAAAGATGAGAGAAATCTCACATTTGAGGTGGATCTCTTTTTTCCCGGGAAGTGACGTATAAATTGTACATTTTGTAATAGTGGCGTGAAGGGGGTGGCGGTAACGTGATGTGTGGAGAGGAGGAGTCAGATTAGGGTTAGGGAAGGGTTATGGTTAGGGTTTTATTTAAAAGATGAGAGAAATCCCAAACTTGAGGTTGATCTTCTTATTTCGGGCCGTGACGTATATATTGTACATGTTAAAATGATGGTGTGAGGGCGGGGATGTGGCGGTAACGTGATGTGTGGAGAGGGGAGGATAGATTAGGGTTAGGGTGAGGGCAAGAAGTAGGGTAGAAAAAGATAGAGGCAAAGGGGTGTGAGGAGTGGTATGGTGGATATGATCTGAGGGGTAGATTTAATCGAGTAAATATGGATGGAGAATGTGAACAAGGAGAAAACAATTAAATTTAAGTATTGCTGGAAAAGATACACAAGGTTTGAGTGAAAGCTTAAAATTTATTACAATTTCTTAGAAAATGTAGATGGAACAATTAAAAACAGAATAGTTAAAAACTTTTTTTGTGGTATTTTATCACAATTGATGAAAATATAAATAAAGTTGTCGATAGTAATTTTGTGGTTTACATAAAATTTTAGCATGTACTGAATATAACCATTCATATAAAAAGCTAAAGCTTTGGAACTGTTAAAAAGTGTATTGCGAGTCTTTTCACAATCAATAAGTAGCATAAATTAAAAGTAGTTGATAAAAGTTGGTTGTATACAAAGAAAGTATAGTATGTACTATATATATGTGTTTACATATATAAAGGTAAAGCTTTGAGACTGTTAAAAGGTTTCTTGTGAGGTTTTACAAAATCGATAAATAAAAGTGGTTGATAACAATTTTTGTTATGTTTACACTGGAAACACTGGAAATATTGTATAACAAATATATGTATTTATATAAAAGTTGAAACGTTTTATTAAAATTTCCTAGGTTTTAGGGAATTCCACTTGGTTTGCTGCTCATTTTTGGTGCTATTAGTTTCTTCGGTGCTTTCTTGTGATTGTCATTGCCGGAAATAGACAATAGAATCTGGTCAAGTAGAGATTTCCTGTCTATCCCATTGCAGTGACTATAATTACATGCAAAATTATTCAAGACAACAATAGACTTTTAAGGTCTATTGTTTAGCCTAATTGAGAGTATATTGTTATGTTAAGTAGTTCACAGCTTGGGGTTGGAAACAATAGTAAGTGAGGTAATCTATTGTTTCCTTTGTTCTGTGTCCACTTGTATTTGTCAGCTGATCATATGAAGCCATGTAATAAATGGTTGTGGTTACCAGAGAACGAG